CCACATGCAAATCCAACAATGACAGAAACAATTACTTCATGATGGATAACTTTATTGCCCACAGATGGCACTTTAAACCCAGAAGGTCAGATTCTTTGTATACACTGAAGCTGCAAAGATAAACTGGTCATTCACTTTAACCTGTCATTGAACAGGTGAAAAAAAGATTAGTTGACATGTTGAGAATAACTGAAATGACTGGAAGACAGTAACAGCCTCAAATTATGACAAAGATGTTAGAAAGCCATCGAACCTGCTAACTTCATGAGATTTATAACAACTTCTAATATTGTATATTTTTTAGCTAAGCCATAAAGCTAGCTTTTGAGTTTACTTTCTTTAGTCAAAGGTAGCAGAAATTCACAGTCTAGGAAAGGAAATGCAAAAGTAGAAGGTGGAAAATTCTGAATGGGAATAATCATCCACAATGTGGTCCCAATTTTTAGTTCAGCAGATCTTTCCTTTTTAAGAGAAATCAAAATTTAGCAGAAATCAATGCAAGGTTCATCATGTGTGCATGGTTAGTCATTTGTCTGTAGAACTGGACACACACATCATATTGGAAAAATACATGCGGATTCATTTATTTTATTTTTTTATGACTTGTTATCAGTGTTTTTCCTTAACAGATAATTATAATTTTTGTTTACTTAATTCAGGAAGAGGATCACCTTTTTTATTGCAGGGCAGAAAATAATTTAAGAAGGTTTATTCTTTTGTTGCCTTGCAAATTACAGATTATATCCTCTGCTTTCTTTAAAAAAATTATGTTTGTCCTTCTCTTGCTTTAGACAGAGTGGATAACTTTTGCAATCTAAATTAACGTTGCTCATTAATTAAGCAACCCCGTTGACTGACTTTCGTATGTGTCTAATAAGCCTTCCGAAACAAATAAAATACATCCAAAAATTACCTCTTTCCCCATGGGAGGAGATTCCTCAGTTATCAGGATTAATTAGTTCTCTTGTTGTCACATGAAAAGAAGTTGCACCCCCCAATGTAGGTCAGGGTGAGGGTAGGCAGCTGATGGTCGCTTAGTGACAGGCACAATGATAAGTGAATGTGTCCTGTTGAGCCATGACCCTTCAGAAAAGACAGTGTCAAGTAAAATGCCCACAGAAGGTACATAGGAGGCATAATCCACTTCTAAATATTGACAGTAGGGATTTCCCTGCTATTCTCCTTCCTTTTTCTTTTCTGGTAAACATGTCAAACTCTATTGCATTTGTACTCTGCATCAGTTTTGAAGCATTTAAAAATGTAAGGAAGCTAATGACCCATGAATAGATAGGATGTTAAATAAAGCTATTTTTCTTCAAGACTTAGCATTTTGCTTGTAAAAGCATTGTCTCATACACTTGTAAAAGCAGCAATATTGTCTTGAAATAAGACTTCAGCTTTTTGTCAGTGAAAAACTAAAGAATGAATATATATAAAGCTGGTATGTCATGCCAAATACACTGATGTTGTCTTGAATGTTAATATGATTAACTACTAGAGTTAAGTGTCTAAAATGCTCTTGAAATCAATGATGAAATGCTGGCTTGTATCAATGAGAGCAAACAGACAAACACTAAGAACTCCTTAAGATCCCACCCATGATATTTACAAATACTCTGCTGCCTTTTAGATATGTGTGATATGTGTAAAAGGGCAAAAGCTTGCGTATATATCCAGTATATTTGGCTTTCCTTTTGCCTACAGGATGGGGTGAAGAGATGTGTGTGTTTGGGTTTTTTTATGTGATTTTAATAACTCTGAGGCAGGTACTCTGACATAAGCTTCCAGGAGGCTGCCTTGTTTTGTATGCTTAATTTAAGATACGATCTTCAGATTTTCATGTCTTTGCTTATACCACTGTAGAATTATGAAGATAAAAACTTGTAACATTTATGATGGTTTCTTGCTCTTCCCCTTTGGCAGACTGAAAACAACAGCAGCCCACATTCCCAGGGCTGGTCTCTTGGTCTCAGCATGGGTGGGAGGTGGGCACCACAGGCTTGCTCTCCTGCCTTGCTTTCAGCACCTGTCATTCACATGGATTTTTCCACTTTGCCATCAGTTTTACACAGGAAGAACCTACACATTGCTCTCTAGCAACTAAGTTGAGCGTTGCAGCTCTAGTAGCTGAGCTTTGATCCTGACGGTTTTCTTTGCAGAGCATTGCTGATATTTTTTTCATACACACTGGACTGTTTGTAAATACTGTTGCATGCTTTCAGCTTTTCTAGAGCCTGAAATAAGGAGCACTTCAGAGAAGCTTGAGGCCAAGTTTCCCCCTGTAGTCAGGAACAAGATTCATGAAGCTGGATATAAATACTGCCTTCTTGGGAGAGCATCTGAGCCTCCAGTTCTGGCATGACAAGAGGAATGCAAAATGAAACATAGTAGTTTCGCAAAACAGTCAGATTGTTTAGCTGGAGGACATTGACAAACCCTCTCAACCAAAGTGCCTGGGTTGCAAGAAGCTGCCTAAGCTCTTGTAGCATCTTATCTCAATTTCCTAGTGTTTAGCTTAAGCAGCATTATTTCGGAACAGCGAATGAGTAGACTCATAGACTGTAAGCATCTTTGGGAGACTATCCCATAAAAGCACAGTATGCAGTTTGAAAGAACGAGTACTTCAGAGTTGAGATCCATAAATGGGAGGTGAGAAAATGTTTGGCACGACATACCAGCTTCATTATATATACACTATACACATGAAGGCAATTTTTAGGAAGTCCACGAAACATGTTGTCAGTGTATCACATAACAAACTGCTTCTTCAAAGATTTGCTGCTTCATTTTTCCCCCTTCTTAACAGCTGGCAGAATATAATCACTTCTAGTTAGAAATATGATTGTCTAGACAAATTGCAGAGGAAGTATATGTATTTGTACAGTCTCATCATTCAAACTTCTGGTGTTATTTGTGGTATAGTCCCGAGGACCTCTTTATTCTGAAAACTTGTTATGCCTTTGCTTGAAGCTTGTTCAAGTGAGCTATAATTTAGTTTACATCTATGTTCAAGTGTACCCTTTAAATCTTGTTTTAAATAGGTGTGAATGACAGTATATATAGGACAACTACTGGAGCCACATCTTAAATAAGATATACAGGGCTAAAAAGAAAAGTGTAGATAAATGTACTTAACTTAGATGCCAGAGGTTACTTAAAAGTTAGTTAACCCCTACAGTGTACATTTCCTGAACTGCTAAGGGAGAGAAGCAGGCTACTGAACACCTGCAGCAAACAGTTTTGCGGATTTAATCAGCTCTTTGCTTGTTTCATGGATTGTGCTTGGTAGTCCTAGAATCAGTAGGAAATACTGACAAATGGAGCACAGCTGGCTTCTCAGAAAAACAAAACCCCCAAAACCGGCAGATGATGGCAGTGCCTCTTTACCTTTTGTACAAAATCTTTGTACTTTTAGCATCTCTCTCCATCCATGGGGACTTGGCTTCTAAGTCTTTCTTGGGTGGCAGGAATTCAAGTCCACATCTCAGAACAAAGTTCTGGTATTCAGTCTCTAATCTGAAGCTGCAGCCATTGACTTTGGAGTGTTTATACAGCCAAAATTTAGTCACCAGTCTCAGCTGGAACTAGTCTCCAAAAGTTCCCTCTATAGTCAACAAAAGAGGGAGGCCTTTCCAATGGGTGTTCCATAGCCACCAAATAAGGTTCATGTATTTCTACTGTGTTTGATGCATACAGCTGTTCATATTTGACTGTGGCAGGGACCTCCTGGAAGAACTTAAAATAGCTGCACTCAAATGGTACTTGACTGAGTTCTAGCAGAAAAATTTGCATTATCCTTGTTTATGAGATGTTGATTCTCCTGTATGTTGACAAAGTGATAATTTCTCTGAGGGTAAAATGATCTGGGGTACTCACTGCTACTTTCTCAGGACACTGAAATCTTCACAAATTGCACTTGAGTCCAGATTAGGCTAAAACTGGTTTTCAGCTTTAACTGTTTCAAAGTATTTTCTTGTTATGTTTCTAGCTTCTGGAACACTTTGCTGTCAGTATGAGGGCAATGGGATGGATCCAAGGACTGTTTCTTCCCTAAGGCATGCACTTCTGTCTGGTTGCTATGAAAGCTTTCGTGGTGATAGCCTGTTATAGGCCAAAGATAAAACATAATGTCTTTCCAGTCAGCAGTTCTCAACTTGATGAGAGGGAAGGTCCAGTGCTCCTCTAGTCTTCTGACCATGGGGCTTTTTCATGGACTTCCTAAAAATTGCCTTCGTGTGGCCTTTGAGGAGACTGCCTGGAAGTTTTTGAGTGTCCTAAACTACTTTGTGTGATACTGACACCCAGGGTTTCATCCATACCGGATGGTCAGTCCATGTCAGCACACTTGCTTTCTCAAATAAGCAGGACATCTGGTCTGGATGGTGCCTTGATCTTGTTCTCAAAATTTATTGTAAAGCTCTCCAGTTGCCTTTTCGACACCATGTCACTGGTAGGAAGCCTGCAGCTGGCAAGGGACCATAGGTAACAGTACTGTGACCTTCAGTCAGGAAGGGAAGATCCTTAATCCCCTTTCACTTCTTCCACAGCAGTTCCAGCTTTGCAGCAAGTTCTTTGAGTGGGATTTCAAAAGAGTCTTGAAAGTCAATACATGGCTCTTGCCATGGAAGTGGCTGACTTTTGCCCTTTCCATTGAAGGGGCTGCCATGGTGGTGTTTGCTAAGGAAATGCAGCCAGTGGTGCTTGAGAGCATGCTTCCGTGGTTAGATGTGTGGCCATAAGGTCCTGAAATTTCTTCATGCTATGCTCAGTGAACAATTTGAGAGCAAAGTCATTGACCGATAGCTTTCATTTCTGTTTTCTTTCCTGAGTAATTCTCCTGGAAGATTATGTGAGTCCTGAGTCAGGACATCGGGACTTTGTTCAGAGGAAGAGAGTATGTGTGGTGAGAGGGGCACACGATTTTCTTTTCTTTTCCTTTCCAGTATAACATCATAAATATGAGTGGAGTGGGAACAGAATGATTTGTCATTGCTAATGTTATGTTTTTTTTCTTTGTTTTTCTAGGATCTAGTTCAGGATCAAAATTAAAAGTTCCTGAGCTGAGTATAAATGGCACACAGCATGTTGTTCAAGTGGGCCAGACTTTGAATCTCACATGCAGGTAACCAACTGAGTTGCATTCTGATAATTTGGCAGGGAGATCATACACCTGACACTTTTTTTTTTTTTTGGTAACTGAAATTAGGAAAAAATGAAACTTTATGCTGTGGGGAAAGGTGGGGAGTGAACTTCAATGGCAATTGTTTAATAGTTCTTTGTTGTTTCTGTTGTTGTTTTTGGAAAACAAGATAAAAGAGAACCCCAGAAATAGCCTGATATAATAAAAAAAGAAAGCTTGGGAACTGGAGCTATATAATTGCAGCCCAACATAATTGTTTCTGCTTCCTTATCTGTGTTTGCAGGGGGGAAATGGTTCATTCATGGTCTTTGCCTGAAACTCTAAGCAAGGATAGCAAAAGGCTGAAAGTAATTAAGTATGCCTGTGGAAGGAATGGGAAGCAGTCCTGCAGCAGCCTGACCTTGAGCAGAACTCAAGCTAGTGACACTGGGAACTATAGCTGCAAATACCCAACAAGTCCAGCAAAAAAGAAGAAGGAATCTACAGTCTATGTATTTATTAACGGTAAGATTAAGCTTTTTTAACACTTCTTGGTACTTGCACTTCAGTGCAGCAAAGTGAATAAATAAGGCAGTTCAGCTGTGGCTAAATACAGAGTTTTTAATGATATTTTCAGCCTTGCAAAATGCAATGATAATTTACCAATTAGTGTATAAAATCTGCTTTCTCAGAGCTCACAAATACATATGTTAGTGCATTACCTGTTAGGAAGCAAAATGTAGAAAGAAAAAAACCCAATCCAATCAGTCTACTAGAGTAAATAATAGTCCACATGGAAGTGGACTATAAGTGAATATGTGAAATGGGTATCAGATAAATCGTATTTTACATGACTGGATGGTGACATGATTTCTAGGCAGCTGAAGGATGCTAAAGCTGCCTGTCCAGATCACTGAATTATCTCATGCTGTAGAAAATTACTATTTGCATGTTAAGCCATATTCAAAAATGTACTCTGTAGTCCATGTCACGCAGAGTGTAAAAATCTAGAATAAATAGAATCAAATTAAACACGGGATTGTGTTCAACAAACAAGTATTGTGTAATGTATGGGAAATGCTGGAATTAGGTCAGTTAGGCTATAACAGAAATTTCTTTCTGATCCTGTTTTCTTTCAGGGTATTAATCAGACACTTCTCAGAATAGTTGAATTCAATAGGCACAACAATAAAAGAATCAGTTACAGTACTTTAGGGATTTAATCAATATTTTAGTTGTTCTTGATTTTTACTGAGTAAAATTAATAGATTACCATAAAATATTAGGATTCACAGATTTTGAAAACCCATATTACAGAGAATGTGCAACTGGAAGTTTTCCAAATTATGGGTCTCCTGCTTCTAATGAGTTCACATCAGAGTGAATTAGCCTTTGTTTTCATTTTGTGATATGAAGAGTGGGACTGGGGCTGTGAAAAAGCAGAATGAAATGGACTTCTGACTGCACTGATAGAAAATAAGACAGCTCCTCCCATTATTGTGTTGCTTTATTGAGAATTATCTCCTAATTCATACTGTTAATCCTGCTTTCCTTCATCTAAAATACACTGCAGAGTGTTTTTATTACCAGCTGTTTTAATACAATTCACTGGAAATCCAGCAACAGATGCATCCATTGAAGAATAGCCAAAGCAGGATATTCATTTAGTGACCAACATTTCCTGCAGCCTTGGAAAACTTACAATTTTCTTGGATGACTTTTGCAGTTTCCCATCATGGGACCTTCTTGAACCTCCCACCTTGGATGTCCTCTCTATCTGAGATTTACCCGCAATCCTCTCTGTTCACCAGATGACAAGGACCTCTCTGCTAAGCCCACTTTATGATATGAGAGATGCCTTTATGTTTTCTTGGTCTCTTACCTGTTTGAAGTGTTATTTTTTCTTGATCCTGAATTTTTACAAATGGAAGACACAACCAGTCTTTTTAACTCTTCACTGCTTCCTAAGCTGTATGTGGCTTACCTGCATCAGAATGAGATCTTCAATTGGATGATTGTGAGCCAAGGTTATCTACAGAATTTACATGGTGATGGAAGAAGAATGTATCATTGTGGAAATAGTTTTAGGACAGACATCAGCCACCTTCCCAGCCACTTTCCCTGCCACAATAATCTGTTAAGGAAGACTGCCTGAGTGTCTTGGTTTTGTTGCTGTTTCAGGGACATTCAGCCATAAATGTTGATATCACTGTGAGGATGGCGTTAGATTTATTTCTCCTCCTACCTTACTGCCAAAAAAACTAGTAAAATATTTAAGGAACAAGCCTGTATCAAGCTTAGACCTCTTGGGCATGTCAGTTTTCTGAATTTGACAGTCCTTCTGATTGAAAACCAATTTCTTAACATTTAAGTGTTGATTGTGTCCTAGGAAGCACACATGAGAGTTAGGGCAAACTACTGATAATGAAGGAGACTGCAAGGTAATTTGCTTATTTAATGCCTGTTGAAAGTGTCACTCTGTCCTGAGATGGAGAAAGGTAGATTAGTCCTCCAAAAATTTACAGTTTTGTGGAGAACTGTTGAGTAAGTTGGAAAGAAAGAAGATACTGAGTACCAAAACTTGCCTTTTCTAATAAGTGTAGCATTAGCATATGGAAAGAAAATACTTTTTCTATCTTTTTTCTTTTCTATCTGTCTTAATATAAGTCACTGTTTCCATGAACACACATGAAATTCCATTATCTGGCTCAAGTGCGGGGTAACAAAATCCTCTGTGAAGACTACCTTTTCTGAGTTTAGTTTTATTTTACATCAATTTGTCAGTGTTTAGGAAATAAACATTTGTAAAATTTGGGTCCCTCCTAGTTTTGTATTGTTTCCTGTGGCAGGACGTTGTGTCAGTCCATTTCCCATATTAGCTCCATGTGGATCACAGAGGTGACTGTTTCCCATGTCTTAGTATGCTGCAGATGAGAACAAATAGTTGCTATTTACAAATGCAGAATCCAAATCAGGAAAGTTGATATTGTTTGTACAGGAAGTCATCACTTATTGTTTTAAAAATGTTATTCATTTCCGTAATTAGAATGATACTGAATATGAACTGGATTAAAAAAACACCCAAACACCAAACTGCAATAAACCCAGTAAGTCCTTTGGTTCAGTCATGAGCTTATACTACAGCAAACAATGGACTTCTATAGACTAAAACAAGATGCAAGACAATGAGGAAACTGCATGTCCCACATGCCCCAGAATAACTTGGATCATTTTTGAAGTCCTGCTTTTGGGGAGCAAGAAGAGGTTGGTAATTCTTTTGCAGGAGCTAGTCCTGACACCACCCTTCTTTCAGCTGGAGAGGTCACTACTGAGTTGCAGAGGGGAGTGAGTGCGCAGTGTGCGTCGCAGCAACTCTTGACCCCCACACAGCTCAAGAATTGAGACATTAAGCTAGGGAAATTAATTCTCTTAAGAGCCTTCAACTTTGCTTTAAGAAAACTGGTGGCCTGACTTCCCCCACAAGCCATGGGAAAAATCTGACATGAAGCAAAGCTTCTTTGCCAATTTCTCCGCTGTCTCTGACCCAAAAGTGCTCAGAGCTTTGTTTTGTAAGGCAACTGAAGCCTAGTAGTAAAATGGAGAGATGTGCAATGAGTGCTCACTGCATACATGGCAGTGAGGCTTAGGGAACTTTCTGAAAAGAGATAATGATGAAAAAAAGACATTTAAGAAATACCAAATTACCAGCAGGCTATTTTGAAACCTATGTAGCTTTCCCTGGGGGCAGTACTAAAGGTTTTCTTTCTGTCTGCTTTGTCCTGATATCTCCAAGACACTTTTCAGTTGCTGAAGCCCATTCACTCTCTTCAAAAATGTGTTGTTCTCTTCATTTTCTACTCTCATAATTTCTTGCCTTTGATCAATTGTTCCCATAGTATAACAGAGGAAAAGCATGTAAGTTCAATTACATTGATATATCAAAGTTAGATTTTTGTAAGAATTTAAATAAACTGTGATTCAAGTTGAAGTGTTGCTATTTTCTGTGATGAAGACAGCTTTCAGCTAGTAATATACAGGAGTAAAGTCTTAATTCTGCTGCAACAGAGAGTAGAATTCTTCTCTAAGTGAAGCTGTATTGGACTTTAGGGTATTAGCCCATTTCTTAGTCAATGTTCTCCCTCTCCTTGTCTGTCCTCACAGTTCTACTCTGCATGTCTTCTGGCCACTTGTTCTTCCTTGCAAAATGAGACATGTTTTGAAATCAGACCTCTAGGCTGAGTCAGTTGTCTATTCTCTTTCTATACTTAACACCAAGAACAAAAGGACCTTCTGGTATGTACTTTTCAGCACTGACTTTTCAAGAAATCTGGAGAACAAGCTTAGAATATATGTCTTGCTTTGAGATTATTTAAGTCAGGTGAGAAAAATCAGAGTCAGATAATTAAAGGTACAGGTCCTGAGAGTTGTACTCACCAATGTCTAGAATTACAAATATGACCACTAGTTTTATATATTTGGCTTGAGATGTGTCTCAGGCTCAGCTGTCCAAAATGAAGGCCTTTAGCATTAGGGAATGGTTCAAAATGTTAGCCTTTGAAATCCCAAAACATCTGGGGTGTTGAGCTCATTTTCAAACTCTAAAGTTATATGCTGTAAGTTCTGAGCATATGGCACCTCCTTGGGAGGTCCACTTGCTGACAGATAGCTGGATCCAGCCCCAGAACTGACATGCATTAAGATTTAGCTTGAATGGATTGACTCCTGTAATCCTAAAGACACTATTATTGCAGAACATGGAGGGCATCCAAAGAGTTCTCCAAAAGATCTAAATAATTCAGGTGGAAAAAAGCAGTAAGGTAAAACATGCTAAAATCTAAGAGAAAGGGAGGTTTTCTTCTTTTTTTTTTTCTTTTTCCTTTATTCACAAATAAAGTACTGATAAAAGAACCTGCTGAGGCCTGGGAAACTCTTCCTCCCTTGTGCCTTTTTCTTTTTTTTTTTGTCTTTGCTTTTGGCACAGTTTTAACATATGAGCAGTATGGTTTTGGCTTACACTCTCAGAGTCAATAATATGATAGTGCTTCTGTTATGAAAAGGAAACTAGTTGGAATTAAACTATGTTGCAGCTGTATCAAGTATGTGGACACATTTTTAGTGTCTAATGAGGTTCCTGTTACAAAACAGAGATCTCTAGGACTTGCTGACGTCAATCACCTATTAATGGCTGTGCTTTTGTCATTGTGTGTACATGGACTTCATATCGTAGGACACTGTTGAGCGGAGCATGTGTGGACATCTTGGCAGCATCAAAGGCTATGCACTAAGCCCTCCAAGGTCCTTCTCCCTCACCAAGGCTCATGGCTCCTACTGGAACAGAAATACATTTCCAGGATGAGCCATCATAATGGAGGGGTAAATCTGAAAGAGAATTCCCAATATCTATTAGCTTTTCTAGGGATTGCTTGCTGAACATAATAAATGCTCTGGCATTGATTTCCTGGCTAATGGGACTGTTTTTCCTTGAGATTTTGAACTGTGTTTTATTTGTGTTGTGGACCTATGTTGATAGCCTCCTATAACTAGTCCCAAAGGAAAATAAAACAACCTTGCCTAAAAAATTGCTGTACAATTACACCAGCAATGCTTTGTCTTCTAGATGGAAATTAATAATTATGAAAGTCTAAGTTAAAAAAAAAACCCCAATCAAAAACATCCTGAAAACAGGAGGGGAGTTCTCTATATCACAAGTCTTCCTTCAAGGTTTAGATATGCTTTATATTTGAAAAGTATCATACTACAGCCTAAGAAGAGGCAAAGGAACAACATTTCTTCCAGAACAAAACATTCAAAATGGGATTTTTTTTTCTTAAGAAACATTGGAACCTACATGTGGGCAGGTTGAATAGGTACATTCCCTAAGGCATAATTCATCTCATGGTAAAACAGATGTCTAGAACAGGTTGGATGAACCCTATTGCAAAATTGCTCTGTTCTCCCCAGGGACAGCACTAACAGTTTGGCCACCTATCTCAGTGAGAAATGTTTGTATTTTGGATATGTAAATGAGATTGGAACCACTCTTGGTGTGCAAGGTTCTTCTGGAATTACTTCTGAACAGCCCTAGTAATTTAGCTGGGATAAATAATGTTAGTTAGGGTGAATCCCTACAGTGGAAAGGGAAATTGGCAATTGGCCCATTAACTTTAATGAAGTTAATATGTCTGTTCTTTAGTAAAGACTTGGGTCCTTTTCATGTGCATGAGGGAAAAGGGTGTTACGTGAATGTGAGGAAAATATTTTACCTCTTTTAGCCTGAAAAGAATCTTAATGATGAGCCATGTATAAGTAGGTATTTTGGAAGAACTTCAGAGGACAAGCTTTCAGAGATTTCAAGGAGCTTAGCTTTTCCTGCAGAGACTTCTCTTATTGCAAATGTATGTGTAAGTACTTCGACTTACATAGCTCAGATTATTCAAACCAAACCCAAGAACAGTAGCTGAAGCTTGTGGAAATAAAGAACCTCTCCATCCTTCCCGAATTTGGCATTTCAGTTTTGGCTAATTTAGCTGTTTGTGCAGATCCTATAAATAGCCTAGACAGGTTACTGATACCAGACATAATATTGCTTGTGTTAAGTCTCTTTATCAAGTTTTTAGCTGGCTGCCAACCAGCTTAGTAAAAAGCTGCTATTTATGTTCTTTAACAATATAGCAAGTGACCTTCATGGATTTTGTGAAAGCTTTTTGAGGTTTCATGTTGATTGTAACTGAGGGTTATTGTAAGGAACACAGCCAATCCAGCACACAGTCATTAATTCCAGGCACAATTTAAAAATGCACTAAACTGACTTTAGAGTAACCTTTAACATACGCAAATATTGTCTGTCCAGCTTTCATTTTGCTACCCTCTCAGGCAGCTCTGAAGAAAAAACAAAAACCACCCAACGAAAACAAAATCAGTAATTCAAAAAACAAGGTCAAGCCTCTTAGATTTTCCATTCGAAATCCTGATGAAGCTGAAAGTGTAACTTGAATGTGATCTTCAAGATAGGTCAGTCTGTGAGGTTCCTTTTATGTCTAGAGCTTTCTGAAGTTCCTGCTGGTGGAAGTTAGGTCATTCAGCAGTTTGGGGAAGGATAGCATTTACCTCCCCTCAGGAAGAAATTGAGAGGAAATGTCGCAGGAGCTAGTGGTAATAGCTGGGGTTGTGATGGGACAGAAAGAGGAAAGGAGCAAGGAGAGCTGTTGCTTGGATGATAGAAGGATTCCACATTGGCATACCCTGCCAACATGGCATAACCTGCCTTAGTGCTGTTGCATGTTCTGTTTCCCTGATCCAGGCTGGTAGACCCTGCACCAGACTCTGGTCTTGAGGCACTGAGAGTATCCCTTTATGGCCATTTAGATGGAAAGAGAATAAAATCAAAGGGAATCAGGAAAAGCCTCCACGCTCATTATGAAAACAAAACTGTGCTAGGAAACATGATGCGTATTTCTTTTAATCAAAAGCAGGAAGACATTTGGAGCACTTGGGGCCATCGATTGCCCTCCGGCCCATGGCGGAAGTCCCCGGTGATGTCAATGGGAGCTCTGCACGCGAATAGCGGGGGCACAGAGACGCCTTGGCGCACCATTGCAGGGAGTGTACCAAGAAAGGCTGTGACCGAGCTTTAAAGCCTACCAAGAGCAGCCAGGGCACTTAGCTGGCTTTTATAGAACACTTTGTTGACTTCTCTAGGCGTGAATGTGCATTTCCATCGAAGAAGAAAGAAAAGCTAAATGTGGTGTTTCATGCTTGTTTCCTGTCCCTGCCTTTGGATGGGCAGGAATCCTGTGAGGGCTGAGCTGCACAGCCCCCACTGCCTTGATACTGGCATTGGTCAGTGGTGACACTCTGTCTGCAGACAGTACCGGTAGTCCCCAGAACAGCTCTTCCTCACACTTACAATGATCTGGAGGTTATGATACAGGAAACTACTTTGCAAAGCTTGCTGGTTTGGGGCAGGAGCTCTTAATTTTGTGACAAAGACAAACGAGTCTTTGGGGAGCAGTAAATTGGTTTGTCTGATAATGTTAAGGGGCAGGTGACCTCCTCTGTGGCTGCAGCCCCTGAAACAAAAAAGGTTCTTTTCCCTATGCTACAAACAGGTTCATTCTTGGTCTTTCCTTGACTCGTACTGCAGAGGAAACGTCAACCTAACAAGTCCTTAGGGCATTTTTTATTACATATGCATCCTCTATTACTCATAAGTTCCTTTTGCCATCTCAGTGGACATTAACACCTATTATTCAATAATACTTTGTGGCTTTCCTTTCAGAAAGTTTGTGTAACAATTTCATTAAACATCTTTAGAAAAACTTTCTTCTGTATCCTGGGGTACATTTGAGATACATTGCCTTGGGATTCTCACCAGTATAAATTAGAGTTGAATTTGTTTCTCTTCCTGTTTGATGCCTCAAACAAAAATATTATTGCATATAATAAGAAAAGAGGGTCTTAAGGGCAGAACAGTTTTATGACATTGGGAAATGAATATAATAGTTTTGAAAGAGAAGCAAATTTAATGTATTTGAGGAACTACTTGAGTGAGTATAGATCAATGTGTGCAGAAGTTTAGGACCAGAACATTTGAATAAAGTATTACAATTTGAGGTTATATTAGAGATCGGTTCTTGCTAGCTTTACTAATTTCTTATCCAAGAAAGATTTCCATTGTTATTTGTAAGATTTTTGACTCAGTGAAAATACTAGGATTTGAGAGAAAAAATTGAAAATTGGGTGTAAATAAGCATGGAATTAAGATCTGAATGTTCTGCTGTTTTAGGAGTTAAAAACCTAACTTTATATGAATTTGGAGGTAGTCTCTCTGCAATGTTAGTCAAACTGAACCTTCAGGTCTGAACACCTGCAAAGAAGATTTGGAGCCAGCCCTGTGGCTTGAGCCCCTCTTTGTTAAGTGGTCCAAACAATAGCAGCAGCAATGTTCCCTGTTCCCAGCGCAAGCTATTTATGACAATGCCCTTTGTTAAAGGGATTGTTCAAGGGACGGTAAATTACTCTGCCAAGCTTTAGTTACTGAGTCGTGAGGAATTAATGTGTTCCTGGCATTTTCATTTACCTTGTCACTTAAAAAAGACACACATCAGTATTGTGATAGTGGGAAGGAGGAGAATAATTAACTCTCGTTAGTCTGTATTCTCAGAGTTGAAAAAATGACTGGATAATCGTGGTAGATTCTTTCTCCTGGTGCACTCAAGATCAATTTTTCCCATCAGTTTCCCTGCAGACAGCAGGAACATATCCTTTGTAGGGGTTTCCTGATAAGTGAATTTCAGCTCACTTCCCACATAATTGCTTTTCCCGGTGATAATAAAATAGAAATGCCATGAAATAGGAAGCATATATCTCAGCAGTAGAGATGTTGCTGTAATGAGAAAAAAGGACTTTGACTGTCCTGAAATGTAAAGGAGATCTCAAACTACTGCTGTTGATACTGAATAATAAATACCTTTTTTAATATTCAATAACAGTTTCCTGAACATATTTAGACAAAAGTAATCAGAAGCTTTGTTTAGCTTTTGTTATGGACAGGGCTAGTCTGTTCCTTCCAGGCTGAATGAACCATTGCAATTTCCATACACTGTCTTAAGATTTCAGATACTAACTTTTTCTTTTTTTTTCTCTTGCAGATACAGGCAATCCATTTGTGGAGATGTATAGTGATATACCTAAAATAATATACATGACTGTGGGAAGAGAAATGATTGTTCCATGCAGAGTCACAGCACCAAACGTTGCTGTTACTTTAGAAAAGGTACCTCTCTCCAAGCATGCTCTGAAAGCGTTACTGTGGATGATGCTTATTGTTTGTTTGGTTGCAGCTATTATAATGCCTCTGAAATGCTTTAACAATTTAGTATTTCTTATGCAACATTTCTGGGTGTCAGTACGTTTAGAAGTACTTCAACCCTAGAGGCTTTGTTTCATATCTCACAGAAGGGCTTCATCAAATCTCCTGCACTGGGTGGCAATTTTCTGTAGAAACTTAAACTCTTTATACCGCTTTCTTAAACCTACACTGACAAGGGTTTCTTAAACCCAGGAAGGAATTTCTTGTTAGAAGAGATTTCCTCCCACCTCTTCCCCTGCCCTGCCTCCCCTTTCCTCGTCTGTCCTCTGGAACAGCGGTAAGTGCAGTCTCTGGAGACTTGCTGGGGCTGTACGAGGACCTCTGCAAGTCTTTGCCCTACCTCGCTCCCACCACTGACTTTGCTGCTTCCTTTTACATAAGAGTGCACTTATCAGAAAAGAGATGGCTTCTCTTTGTGGGGAAACTTTGTGGGAAAACTGCAGAGTTTGAAGTGGTGAGACCAGTTTTAGAAAAAAAATATACATTTTCATGTTTTGGGAAAAACATTTATTTTTTTATTAAGGGGTAATGGGTTCAAATTGAAGGAGGGAAAGTTTAGGTTATGTATTAGAAAAAAGGTTTTTACTGTAAGGGTGGTGAGACACTGGAACAGGTTGCCCAGGGACGTGATGGCTGCCCTGACCCTGGGGATGTTCAAAGCCGGGTTGGATGAGGCCTTGAGCAACCTGGTCTAGTGAGAAGGTGTCCCTGCCCTTGGCAGAGGGGATTGAAACTAGATGATCTGTAAGGTCCATTCCAACCCTTAAATTCCATGATTCTGTGATTCCCAGGTGCCTTGAGAGTTACATGGACAGCTAACTGAACTATATGTATGTAGTAAAGTACTTGTCATCAAGATAGAGAATGAGGAGCCTTTTTTTAAGTTCCCTTTTTTAGCTTAAAAATTAGATGGAGGTGACAGTGATGTTTTGTTTCTAAATAAAGGGAATTCTGTACATGGTGGCATGAAAGTTCATCACTGTTACAAGGAAAATAAATTGGTGTCTTTATAGAATAACATGCAATTGCCAGGTAATATCACCATAAGATGCTTGTCTGGTTCAATACAAGTCTTTGATTCCTCTTTGACTATAGAGTTTTACACCAGCCACATATTTGATTCTGTTTTTTGTCTTGACCTGGAGGTTTACAAATTCTATCCAGTGCTGCTTTGTTAATATAGGTACTGATTTTGCTGCTTTGTTAAATGTTAAATCCCAGGAAAGAAAGTAAAATGTGAAGAAAGTGATCTGACCCAGGATGTTATCCTACGTGTGTATGTATACACACGTACACATGGTTCTCCCTCAAGAAGATGCATAAGATTCTGTGGCTATAGAATCAAAAGTAAATGAGACTTGGCTTTCCATGGTGGGGATGTCATAAAGTGGGAACATCTTTGGTCACTGTAGTGTTGCATCTGAAATCTCAGCATATTCCATTTCTAAGAAAATTCCTGTCAGATTCCTCTCTTATTAAACAATATAAACAATATTTTTCCTTATTTAGAGAAGATGGAGACATAGCTACTCTCTTTTTTTCATATTGACTTGCCTTTGGCTTGGGGTAGTGGTGTAAGGCACAGCTCTACACCATCAAAACCACATGTAATACTCTGGGAAGGAGAAAGCGGAGGTGGAGCCAAGTCTTGAAAGAAAGGATTGGTTGCTTACATGTTTTGCATTCCAGGAAAAATAAATGTGTTCCTTAATTAATCCCAGAATTTCCTGAAGCATGTAAGCTACAATGCATTACATCATACCTTACTTTATTTATCATCTGTGACACCCTTATATGAAGATTCCAGCAAGGTTTTGCTCACATAGCAATTAAGAGATGTTTTAAATGCATTTCACAGCTGCAGGCATACTACTGCTGGAGAAATGGAAAGAGTTATTTTGTGTTTTCCATCAGTGACAGAGGAAGAAATAGGTGTATCCATAATGCAGTCCTCTGGAGCTGGAAAGCTTTTGCAGTCTATATTGCCAGGAAGTAAAAATATGGGGGTTTTGTTGTTGTTGTTGTTGTTACCTCTCTCTTGTGGAAGGACTCACTGCAGTTGCATGAGTACTGCCTCCAGCATTTTGTTTCTGTGCAGTGCTTGCAGTTAGCTGTAGTAGACCTATGTGGGAAATGTTTATTATCCGTTTTCAACACTACAAATTAGTTTTTTACTCAAACCGCATCTTTACCTTAGTCAACCCTTTTGAGATATTGTATTGTTGTCACTTCCAGGCTGAACATCTGTACAAACTGTATTTTCTAGCATGACTATCACATGCAACATAAAAGGGGCATCTTTAAAAATCAAGAGGTTAATAAAACAGGGATTAGGAAATGGGAATGGAACTTTTAATTCCTATTTCAAATTCAGCCTTCAGGTCCTGTTATAACCTTGTCTGTAACAACTGGTAGCCATTTCTCTTCCTCATCATATGAAGAACTGTGAAATCAATTGATAGTTGTGATCTAATGCTTAACAGTTAGACATATCCAGAGGCTCTGAAACCATCATTCCTATCAATGTGATTCTGGCAGTCTCATTCAAGATCTCTAAAATAAGATAAACCTTATTGCAAGTAAGGTGTGCACTTCTCTTACCTTTTCATTTGTTCTCATCTTGCTAAATGGAGGAAGTATCACTTTTTGGTACAATGTTTTAGTCCCACTGTTTACTCTCCTTTTGGATTCTCTGTTGTAAAGTCAACAATGACATTTATGGGAATAGAAGTAAATAAGCTTCAGCATAAGAAATATAAAGAGGAAAAGAACCCATTGCGAGTCATACATCTGGACAGCCTGAATTCTTAATAATTCCACCTTATCCTTCTCAAATTGCTGGAAGGAGAAGCATGAAAGAAAAGACAAGCATTCCAAACTTTAATATACATTTTTACTATACTTTCAGCTGGCACTTTGCAATACAATCTGCCTTTGGAGGTGTGGAGAACCAGAGCTTGACTATATACTCCTGATATATAGTCCGGATACATACTCAAAGTCTTGTGGTAGTACTGTGTTAATGCCATCTGGTAACAAAATGGTTCAGGGGTTGGTGCTGAGCAAAGGAGGAGGCACAGCCCGTACCAAAAGAAACTGAAATTTAGTTTGAAACCAAGTACAAAGAAGGTAAAAGGCCAAGGCTACACTGGGAGCCACAGTGATGTGGTTTATGCAGATAAATTTGTAGACAATAAATTCCATGTTTATTACAGCCATCGCAACAAATTGGTTCTTTGAATGCCTCTGACTTGCGGCTGGTATCCATCTGTAAGCTATTTTTGTAGCTGAATTTATCTTTTGCTGTTTCAGTGGAAATCTCACTGTTCAAGCACTGCGTTTCTTCATAGGTTTTCTACTTCTCTCTGTGATGACCAAATGACCAAGTTTTTTGACAAAGCCTTGAACTACACTGGCCCTGTTCTGCACAGGGGTGAGACCAGATGACCCCTTCCAACCTAAATTATTGTGTGATTCTGGGATCTTTTGTCCTGTATCATCCATGCAGTGATCAGCGTGGTGATGATGCCATGTCTCTAGTTTGGGGCCTAGAACCTGGGTTACGGCAGAGCAAAGCACCTGTGGTTCTCTGGGAGTGGGAAACAGGTCATCTGAACCAGTGGGGTTGGCAGCGGAGAACAGCATGGAGGAGAGCTGGGTGAGAAACTGAAGCAAGTAAGGAGAGAGGGCAGAGCTGTGAAGGGCTGTGTGTGGGAGCACCTAGCCACCACAGAGTCCTGGTATTTCCACCCTCTGAGTGGGACTTGTTGTAGTGTCTTGGTTTTTCCACATCAAGACTTAGTCAAAGACCAGCTATGTCACAGTGATATTTTGCTAGTCATAGATTTCAGTTTTCTAAAGTTTTCCTTACAATAATTTAGCAGTGTCATGTTATACTTTAATGGATGACTGCATGTAACTTCTTAGTCTCAAAGCTGCAAAAAATCATACAAAAGGATGTAGCTCTAGCTGGTTTTGAGGGGTATCACGTGAGTAAACTGTACAGGCAATGATTTGCCTCCGGGGCAGTTAAGCCTGTTGGATATTCAGACAAGTCACAAAGTTAAGTGTGGCAAAACAGGACAATTCTGAATATTTTGGTTTCTCTTCTGTTCCTGGACTAAGACTAACACAAATTCAGTAATCAATCAATTAACTAATTAATGTGCAGTGAATGCATTCCCTGGGATATATCAGTCTAGGGAGGCTCTGACCCCCTGACTTGACTCTTTCTTCAAGCTATACATAGAAACTTATAGAGCAATATGCTCAGAAACAGTTAGGTTTCCATCAAAGAAGCAAGAGAATAAATCCAGTTGAAGCCCTTGAAAACATACCTATGAACTAGTTAAACTGAAGCTTGAATATTTGTTTTATTCAGAACAGAAATGGCAACAGAGCTCTTACAGGCCAAGGTATTGTTGAATGGTAGTCAGCAGGCTGTAATGTAATGGGCTTTACTTGTGTGTGTGTGTTTGTAACATGCACTTCCCCCATGATTTGCATGCTTATTATAGTATCTTATCAGCTGTTGTGAAGATAAGGAATTCTACCATGGCATTTTGTGCTCTGTGTTTATTGTTCGTTTGATTCATCATGTATTTATTTCTTTTGGATGAAATGGCATGAAATGAGTGGATGTAATCACAAGGGCAGAATTCTGCATAGGCTGAGCCTGCAGCACTGAGGGTGCTGTGTTTTGGAGAGAAGCTGTACCAGGCAGAAAGGAGCCAGACAGCCATGCTTCTGACAGCCACCCATGCTGGCATTGGCTGTAGGAAGGAGGGGGCTGACCAGCGCAAAAGTCCTCTTCTCAAATAAAGGGGAAGAAAGAGATGAAGAGTCATAGTGAGACTGGTGTGCTGTGAGAAGTGATGAGCTGCAAGCTGCTTAATTGATCCAGGGATCTTTGCTTAGGGTCCTAGTTAAATTAAACTCTGCTCTGTGCCATCTTTAAAAGTATCTTTTTTTATACCATAAAAGCAGGTATTATGAAAGTAGTCACACCCAGGCTTTGCACTCATGGCTGATGTCTGTGTTATCCAAATGGATGGAGGTCTTATTTGAGCTTCAGTGCCTATGTCCTGCTTTGCCTTTTCAGTGTTTTCTTGATACCTTATTAACATGGGGCTTAAAGCTTAAAGGACCCTAATGTAAAATATAACTTGTACTGCTGACGAAGTGAACACTTGATCTCATGTGGCAATATTTCAGCTTTTATTTTGTAAGCCTTTTAGACCACATAAATGTGAGATGCATCAGATTGAATCCTGGTAGGAGTTTGGAAAAGCCATGAAGTGGTAGCAAATGAAGTTCATTTGTCACCTCCTTTGAAAAATATGTATTTGTGTCTCTGTGGTGAAACCAGAATACTTAATTGCAAAGGTTCACAGAGAAGAGCACTTTAGCTGCCAACTGGGAGCCAACAGAATAGCGGCCCAAGTGCTGCAGCTAATGATAGTGTCAATCTCTTGTGTCACAAATTACATCCTGTTATAAATAATGAAATCTCAGAAACAAATAAACCATTCACATTCTTCACCCAGATTTTCCCTCTATTTTGTGATGAAAATGTGGCTTGAAAAAATCTGCATAATAAAATGTCATCCTTTCTACTTTGACTGGCATTTTTTAGGATGCTTTTTTCCCTATTCCTTTTTTATTAGGCTACTCTGATTAGAGTGTCGCATGAGGATGAGTTTTTTTTATGATGTGTGTTTGACACTTCCAGATTCCAGGAGAAACCCTAATTCCTGATGGCAAAACAATAATCTGGGACAGCATGACAGGTTTCAGAATACCTAAGGCAACCTACAAATTCATCGGGCTCCTGAGCTGTGAGACAACTGTCGGTGGACACACATATAGCACAAAGTACCTAACGCACCGAGCAAGTATGTAGCATTCTCCACTCCCCGTCTTTCAGAAAGCACTCTGCCCTGCTGACAGTACTAATTTTTCTCTCTCTTTGTCACATGCAGCCAACACAATTTTTGATGTTCAGTTAAGCACCCCACGTCTCGTCAAGCTACTGAAGGGAGACAGCCTAGCAATTAACTGCACCGTCACCGCAGCCTGGAACACCAGAGTGCAGATGACATGGACTTATCCTGGAGAGGTGAGTGTTGTGATTGAAATGAAGAAAACAGAGGTTTCCCACAGATCATGCTGCATCTAGCATCCCAGGAGGAATTCTGCCCTGGAATGCTTGCCATGGTTCACATTCCATCGTTTTGACCCTTGCTGACATGTCTCTTAAGGTTTCTTTTTTTTCTTTCGGGTGCTTAATTGAGTAAGTAAACATGTTTACACAATGTACTCTGGTTATATTGCATAATCACAAGTGAACACTAGAATTGTTTCTTCTCTGGGAGCTTTGTTTCAACCTGGTGAAATGATAGAAATTTATCCCCCAGTCCCAGGCAGGGGCTCTCTCTTGTGACAAAAAAGTTTTCAGTGAGACTGTCTTTCTCAACACACTCATTTTGAAGACTGGCAGACAGTCAGGCACCCAGCTCAAGCATGTTTAGAAAAGATATTTTGATTTAGCTAGCCAAAATCTCATTTGTTAAGTGTCACATGAACAATCCTCTTGTTTTGATGACTACAGGAATGATCTTGAATGTGCTTCTCCACCCCCTACATTGGGACCATCCTCATAAATATTTGTCACTTACAGAATAACTGCCAGGGAGGCCATGTAAAGCTGATAAGAAATTTGACATTAGATTAAGGTTTACAACTCCCATTCCTTTCATGTCAGTTTGATTTATGCTGGCGATTCAAGTCAGGATCATTTATTATGTCACTTATTGTCTCTAATAACAAGCTGAAATTATGATTACATTATATAGGGAAGATTAATGCAGTTTTTTATTGCATACTCTAGCCATTTTCTCTGGCATTTTTTTCTCTTCAGAAATAAACAACTTAGCAATAAGAAATGCTCCAAATGTATAATACTGCTCATTGCTGCCTTATCAAGCCCTAGCTGGGTACCACACTTGTGAAATTCTGCTTTGTTTTTATTTGGATGGTAACCTAAGGGTGCTCAGTGTTTATAGGACACCAACAATGTCCTGGGTTAAATAAACTTCGAGGCCAAAGGCTGAGGGGGAGTTGCAGGAAATAACTCCTCAGACTCGCATTATCTACGGTTCCACCCTGCTATTCCCTTGCCAAATCTAGTCCCTTTTCCGTCTGTAGTGTTTCCAGAGTTCTCCCCTTCTTGTGTTAACGTCCTCTTCTTCCATGTGTCTGCTGCCTGTGGCAGTGACTCCAGGCACCAAACTATGTGCTGCTCTTCATATCATGTCTTTAGGAATTTTTTGGAGTGATGCTGGACAGTACCATGGGGAGCTGGGCATGTAGGTATGGCAGGCTGTACAGAAGGGATGATCTTCCTCTGGAAAGTACTAGTTTGCATGCTGTTGTAACTTTGGTGAAGGCAGGGATGAATTGCCATATAATGTTAATTAGATTTTTTATTGTCGATCCTCTGGAAATGTTAAGCATTGTTTGTGTGCCTGTGCTGTACAGAGGCTTTTTTTTAAAATTAAGGTATTCTGGCAGTACAGTAAAATAAAAATCTTAATAATCATGAAAATTGGTTTGATTAAGCTCGTGTTAATTTTTGCTTTTATAGACAAGGAGAAGGGGTTCTGTAATGCAGCGTATTGACAAGAATGCAGAAGCCAATGTTTTTTACAGCATCCTCATTGTTGACAAAGTGCGTGATATTGATAAAGGCCAGTATACCTGCCATGTGAAGAGTGGGCCATCGATCAAAGCTGTTAACACAACAGTCATTGTTTACGGTAAGACGTGTTGCAGATTTGTAGAATACTGAATGCCCATGTACCAAGGTCAGTCATACAATAGCTTTACATCTTGACACAAGGTGGAAGTGAATTTATAGCACATTCATTGTGGGCAGAAAAAGGGAAACGAGGCAGGGAGGGAGGGAGGGTCTCCAGGAGGGAGACCATGTGCCATTTCTTCTGTGATTGTTGTGTATTGTTGTCAGTAGACATGTTAATGTTCAATTTGATCACTTTTGTCTGCTAAATACTGTGATGACATTGTCTTCAGTCAGTTCTAGCAAATGCAATCACAGAAACTATAGTTTTGGGGAAAATGAAAGAGTACAAGCTTAATTTAAATAAAAGAATCCCACTTCCTCTTCTGTGGTAGTTATGCATTGCTTTCTCTGAAAAATGAAGAAGAAACAGATACCCTAGCTCTGCCTGGAGCAGGTAGCTGGTAGACCATTCAAAAAAGGAAACAAGCACTAAAGACTGCAAATCATTAATACAGTTTTACAGTGGGAGCCTTAAACAGGTTCCCTATGGTCTCCCAGGGCCTTCTGTGAAGTCTGGAAATTTCATGATGTTATTTCAAATGTATGTGAATTACAACTTGTGTGCCTTGGGACTCTATGAGAAGTTACCTTCTTTGTGGCATCCTGTTAAAATTAGGATTGTCCAGTGTCTTTGGAGCACTGTTGGTATGAAAGACCAGTGGCTAGTGAGTGTCCTCTACAATAGATGACTCATGATCAGAATATTGATTTGTTGTATGTTTTCAGTGGTCTATCTTTTCTTTCTCATCTGGAAGTGGACTAAGCACCCTGTGTTGATATTCTTAGAGAGTATTTCAGTCCATTTCCTCTATTTAAGCTTTGGACTAAGCCACTGGGAGCATAAGATGAATCATGATACACACTTACTATATTAAACTGAAGCTGCCAGAAACTGAGTTTTAGATTAAAGTCAGAGAAGCTGGTATTGTTAAAGTCAGCCTGTAAACTCTTACTCACATAAGCAGCCCCATCTATGGGATGCCCATATTGGAAAGAGCCTGTGTGAATAAGGGTTTGCAGTCAGGGCTGTATCTTTATAACTTGACTTGTGTAATTAAACCGTCTCTTTGTCTTGTGCATGTTATTTTCAATGTACGTGGCAAGTGTGATTAAATACTGCTCTTGTTTGTAGATATCCACCATCCTTACGCAGTCCATAATGTGTGTCAATATTGCACTGTTGGTGCTATCAAAAGGATACACAAACAATTTTTCCTGTTTTGAATGTTATGTTTTGAATAAGTTGGCAGGGGGGAGGAGAGGGGAAGAGATATTTTCCAATGTATTGCATGAATATTGTGTTTTATTGCCTCTGGTAAAAGTCAGCAACTTGCCAGAGAATTGGAGATATGGGCAAGAACAACTGGAAAAGAACAAATTCCAGCAGGTTGAGATTGTTCCAGTGAAGTGACAGAGATTTGTTTGTTTGATGAAACAGCTGTTTACCAATGATACAGAAAGTTTCTGCCTTTTCCTTTGCTATTTCTCTGAAGGTCCCTTAAATCTTCTCTGGCAGAATATTTTCTTTTGAAACATTCATTGATTCTTGGCCTGTGGGAGTGGAAAGGTCATCTGATCATCTAGTTCAGCCTCCCACATACCACGAACCACTTCATCTCTTGTGCCTTTTTTTCTGGCTGGACCACGACGTGAATTTAGCTAGAGTGTATCTTCTCCAAGCAGATTCATGGCCTGGGAACGATATATCAGTTTCTTGTATATTTGTGGTATTCTTCTGTGTTTTATAGATCTCTAGCAGGTTAGGCTCTATTCTTGCTCTTGCGATTTGGGAACATCGAAGTCATTAAAGATAATTCTTGTTTGGATTCCTCTTCTCTTTAGTAGAGCTATTCTTTTTGCAGGATGTAAATCAGTAATACAGTGCACTTTTTTATTTTGTTTAAGATAAAATGTTCATTAATCTGAAGCGTCGAAGAAAAACTACCCTGGAGGCTGTAGCTGGAAGAAAATCCTATCGTTTGTCAATGAAAGTGAAGGCATTTCCCTCTCCAGAGGTTATATGGTAGGACAACAGTTACTTCCACATACCTATTCTGGACCTCTTTTTAGATGAATAAGACCCCTTGAGATTGAAACAAACTGGAGATAATACAGTTGGGGAGTTTTATTGTAAGTTTCAGAGTTGTCCAGAGAACTGGATTAATGTTGAGAACATTTATCATATTCTCAATTTATGAGAACATTATCTCCATTTTGCAAGTGCAAAAAAGGAGATCTGGAAAGTTTAAAGCTGAGATCATCAAATATGCTGGATATTCCTCTTCTTGAAATTAATGGATACTCTACAGCTAAATATGTCTACCAGCCTGGTCTGAACTGTTGGCTCTAGTTTCACTCAGATCTAGATATAAGACATGAACTTTCTTTGTGGACAGTAAGAGAAAGAAAAGAAGGTTTTCATTAAAATGACTGATTGATTTGAGTCATACAGACATGCACTATTAAAAAAAAAAGTAAAAGGAAGTTGGTATTGTTATGCAGTGATCTGCAGGTTGTAGATCTACTTTAGTGACTGGAGCATTCACTTTGTCTCACATATACTGTGCTTAGAAATCTTTTGAACAGTTTTTTGTATTAATCCAAACCACTTTTATATAAAACAATGTTATCTATTGATGATCTCAAGGAATTTTTTTTGTTTAAATAAATTTAAACACCAGTAGCTCTGGCTCAATTCATTGCCCTTTAACAAAGGGTCTGTGACAAGACTGATTAAGAAAACAAACCATACATACATGAACAGTGAGAGTTCATGTTACTCATAGCCAGGAATTACTTTTGCTCCAAACGTGTTGTTTTGTTTTACAAAACACCTACATTTATGGCTCCACATGGAAAATTAAGAGGCAAATATGGCACTGATGCTACTCATTTATATGACATTTTCTATTTCTCTAGTGGTTGGGCTTATTGACTACATGTATGGATCCAAAACTTCTGAAGTAAATAAATTTCCAAACATTTAAATAAGAATTTATTTTTTTATTATTTATTTATCACTGTGAGGTTGATCAAACATTGGAACAAGTAGTACAGAGTAGCTATGGAGTCTTCATCCTTGGAAATACTCAAAATTAAACTGAAAATGGTCTTGGGCAATCTTCTGACCTTGCTTTGTACACAGGGTTAGACTAGATGGTCTCCAAAGGCTCTTTCAGCTGCAACTATTCTGTGGTTCTATGAAAAAAAAAAAGATACAGCGCAATGCCTAAATCCATTGCCCTTAGACCAAATTTTTAGTTCTCCTCTAATAATAGTAAGAGTTTTCTGTAAATGCTTACTAAAACCTGTGAATGATTTTGATCAAGTCCACTATCATAGTGAATCTCTGTTGCACTCATCTACTAACATCATGTTAACCTTCTTGCAACCAATTAAAGTGTGCTTTATGCTGTATTTTAGACTTTGAAGAAAAATGTTGTGCTTTAGGAATCTGTGTGTGACCAACAGTTAATGCTTTCTATGTTGATTTTCTGTTATCTGTAAAAACATTCACTTGATAGCAGGATATCTGATTCTTAAGTGCTTATCTAATCTACTTATTCTTCCTCTTCCTAAAATCACAGCTGTGCTTAGGCTACTGTAATACTTTGTCCCAGGATGTATTCTGAGGTCATAGAGAAATGGCCAGTGCAGGATGATGCAACCTTTATTTCTGTGACCAACTCTTAGCCAAAATGGTTGTCTTCTAGACTAAATGGCGGCACAAGCATGTACAACTGGGGTTTTCAGAGACAGAGTTGCAATTTTCAGCAGCTCTTGAATACTGTAGTGGCTTATCAGATCCTTATCAATTTTAATATATAGAATAGTATTCTCTAAAGTGCTTTACAAGTATCAACAATGTTATTTGAAAAGGAAGGACAAGATTCTGGTAAGGAGAATCTCAGACTGTAAATTCAATCCTTTCCCAATGATAGAGAAATGTTGTGAAATGAAGTAATGCAGGTGGTTGAAGCAAAAATAGTTTTCAAAATTTTGATTTCTGGAATCCTTTTAAACAGGTTAAAAGATGGGCTACCTGCTGCTGAAAAATGTGCCCGGTACATAATTAAAGATTATTCATTAATCATCAAGGATGTTGCTGAGGAAGATGCTGGAAACTACACTATAATATTGAGCATACGACAGTGGAACTTGTCAAAGAATCTTACAGCCACTCTTAGGGTAAATGGTAAGTGTGCAACATGGTCTGATTCTTTGGGCTGTCCTGTGTAGGGCCAAGAATTGGACTTCATGACCCCTGTTGGTCCCTTCCAGCTCCGAATATTCTGTGATGCTGTGTTCCCATGCTTCCCCTGAACATAGAAATGCCAAATTTGCATTGAGATAGATTGTCATTGATCTTGCATACTCAGCTCATTGTGAGTTTTCTTCCCGACTTTCATGCACCCAAGTCCAAGTCTCAGATGCAGGGTGACAGACCCATATTTGAATCAGGAGATGAGCGCTGGTTTTCATTAGAAGGGTGTCTGTTCCACAGTCACATGCTTGTTTCCGATGACTTAAATGTGTTAACCAGCCACTCATCTGACTTGACTTAAGGCTGCTGTTTTCCTTTGTTCTCCTAAGGAGTTTTCTTGTTACTCACACTGCAGGAATGTAGTGGTTTTATGATCATGCAAGACATTGGAAATGTGTTGGTTTTAATTGCTCTCTAATTTTTACCCTTTGCAGTGAAACCCCAGATATATGAAAATGCCGTGTCATCATTCCCTGATCCCAATCTGTACTTACTGAGCAGCAAACAAGTGCTGACATGCACTGTGTATGGTATTCCTCAGCCTAAAATTACATGGATATGGTATCCCTGTAGACAAAACCATTCTAAAACAAGGTAGGACAGCTTCTTTACTTTTGTTTAGCATGTATTCCCTTTCTATTGCATGTAAATATTTACCTTTTTCTACAAGGATAAAGCTTGCTGTAAACATTGCCTAGTTAGTAAAGTTTGTATACTTTTAGTTAATGTATTTTTTAGTAAACATGTATGCCCAATGCAATTTTTTTCTCCATCATTATTTGAAAATGAAGGGCAGAGTTGTTATTTTGTATTGCTACTTGGGTTTATTTACAGTTTGCTACTATTCATGCATGCAGTATTGGTCCAGAGGTGATAATTGCTTTTCCATTTTCATGAGGGAAGCCTTGCAGACAATGACTTGCAAAGTTCACACACTTTCACATGGAGGAGTTTTCCTCCAGGCTTTCCTCCATGCACAGTGATTCCCATGTGTGACTTCTGAAATTCAGCAGAAATCATCTTAAAGACTTTTTCCATCATGATACGTTGAGTCATAGATTCAATTCAGCAAACTAAATGAGCCCAGCATTCTCCAGATGACATTTAAACAGGGTAAAATATAAATGGCACCATACAAGCTTACTTGACACTCAAGTGGTGCTTAACTAATCCTCTTTCATTTTTAAGCTTTCTTCTGGACTCTCTTTCTTACTATTATGAGCTCATGTGTTGACTCATTTATCCAAAGCTCTTCCCACATTGTGAAATCTGACGTGAACTTAATAATTAACACTCAACCTCCACAGTGACATTAGCATTAAGCTACTGTTGGAGGGTTGGAAGGTGTTTGGATCACTGCACAATGAATATCTTTAAAAACCTAACGAAAGTCTAAGAGCCAACATTTCTCAATTTCAATTGAAGAATAACCACTTTTCATAGGATTTCGCTTCTTTTATGCTTCCACAGAATTGGGATTTGGTGCCAATCCAGCCAGATGTTTAAGCACATACTTAACTGCAGACGTCATTCAGTTAAATAGGGCAAACATCTAAGGGTTTGAAAACTAAGATTTGAGGTCAGTGAGAGAGTGGTCAGCACTTCCTAGAAGCACACACTGTTTTTCCCACTATGTCTTGCTTTGGAATTATGCTAATGGACGTCTCTCTGTGCCCTTCTCACCAAGAGGTGGCACTAGCAATCTCTCCTTTTGCTGGAATAGGTATTACCTGAAATTCTCCATTTGGAGGACAGGTGAGGGCTGTATTTCCTCTATCTGGCATGTTACCTTTGAAGGACAAGATGCAAAATTCTGACTATTGATTTATTTTTGCTAGTAGGTGTAAGAAGAGAAATTGCATCATCTTTTAACTAAAGAAACCTGGTGAAAGTTGTATGTGAAAATTTTCAATCTTTTAGTTTCTTTGAAGAGTTTATACAACTGTGCATACACCAGATTGAAATCCCAGTGCAGCACTGCCAAAACAATTGGTTCTTCTTTGGGAGTTGTTGGGGTGGTGCTCATCCATTGTCAGGTATTTCCTTTTGTTAACAAACACAGGTCTGCACTACAGCACAGGAGAGTGTGTCCTCAGAAAGCGAAATTAATATCCACAAACAGGTGTTCAATAATGTGCTAAACTGTAGACTCCATTAAATGCTAATAGGAGTGTGTTTGAGCAGGTGACCAAAGGAGAAATGTAACAGTTTGAATCAGCTATTGGCTCTGTTACAAGGTTGTTTCCAGACTTGCTTCCAAATTGCCTTCATAATTGTTCTGTGACGATTCACTTTAACCTGCTCCCCCTCCTTCTTCTTTAAGTGCTCATTGAAGAAGTAGTCTGGAGAACACCATTTTTAATGCTTTGCCTGAAAGGAGTGGAATGACTCCCTCCGAGTAATATGGTGATGACTAACTATTCCAAAAGGCAGAAATACCCGAGTAATTACATTTTGTCACTTGCTCCAGGAAGGGAGCAGAGCAGAGTTCTTCAGCAGCTGGGACACCTTGCTCAGGCTGATGTCTCTGCCAGTTCAGGTGTTCTCTGTGAAGAACTGGAAATCCCTTTAATCTCACCTATTTCACTGTACTTTCCACTTTGTGTGAGGGGAGCTTTGCCTAAACAACAGGTTTAAGGTGCGTGTACCTTGTGCAGAGGATAAAAACCATCTTGTTCTGCCATTGCAGCATTTCTTTGTATTTACCTGCCCAATACTAAAATGTTGCTTTATTTGTGCTTAAGTAGTGCCTATTTCCATGCACAAATATACCTTAAGTCAATAAGCCCACACAGGTTACCTTTATTCATTGCATGGCAGTAGGGATTCTCAGCAAATTTCTGAGTCCCATGTCACAGTACAGAGTGTGCACTCTGTGTAAAAATATATTGTCGCTGTAAAGACCTTGCAGTGCACAGATCTGTTTGCTCCATGATTTATATATGTGATTAACATCAGTTGAGTACAGTCACTGCAAGCTGGGGAACGATGCACAGTGCATAAATTAAATGCTTTTATTTTTTAAGAACTGTTGCCTATGGCCTCCTTAATAACAACCATTAGGTTATATGTCTGCTTCTTTTGGTTTATTTTCCAGACAGTTTTGCTGTTTCAAAAACCTAAAAATACCTCAATGAATTCCATTGCTTTTAAATGCAGATATAGTTTTAATACTTTGTGATTGATGCAATCAATTTGCATAACTCTTCCCTCCACTTCACCCAAGCCAGTAACAGGAGACTGGCCAAATTAAATAGTTTCCGTAGTTTCCTCATAGCAAATTTTTTCTTAAAAAAAGGTTGTAAAATTGCTCAACAAATGTGAATTTTTGAAATGTGGAAAGATCAACATCATTAAAATTCCCTGTTCTTTATTTGCTGTTAAAATTACTTTGCTTAAACCACCTCTATTGTCATTAAACCACCTTTTGTTAGCTAGCTAGCTGACTGGATTGATAGGTGGAAAGATTCTCTTCTGATATTCACCCCAGCAAGGAAACACAGGAATCACAAAAAACTAACTGGGACAAAAAATGTTGTTCTGAGGATTTTAAAGCTTATGCAGAGTTGTTAAATTTAGTGATGACAGGCAAAAGACAGTAGAAGATGCCATAACAATTCAAATAAAAAGCAATTAGGAAAAAAATTAGTTTTCTTAAATTACTGAGAGACTTCTTTTCCAGGGCTATCTTACTGCAACTTACTCTGCTGCTCTGTAGAAGGCACATACATTCCCAGGCTGGGCAGCCCCCAGCTGTCTGGTGGATATTGCAGAGGACAGCTGGTGGGACACTTGTGCTGCAGTGTCCACCAGCCTCCTTGGGCTCTTCTGTACCACTCTGGAGCTGCTCTTTCTGGCCTGGTTTTGGTTCAGGTTGGGTTGTCAGCAGAGGTGTGTGGCAGCAGCCAGCAGCAGGGCTTGCCAAGGATCTCCAGAGCCAGGCAGGCTGGGATCCACCAAAAATGATCAGCTCTGGGGGTGCAGAACAAACATCTGCATGCCAGGAACATGCCTGATGTTAATAGTTCTTGACCTGAATCTCTTCAGCAGACTTGTGTTTATCTTAAACTGGTCTGGCAGAGATTGCCAAGAAAGGCATATGGGATACTGCTATTGCTCCCTGGAAGCACTGGTTTGCTCAGCAGTTGTGCAGTGTCATTTAGGGCCAGTTTCTTTCTCTGGACATTTCTATGTGGGCAGTTCAAGAGAAATCTTTGAGCTCTGCCCAAGGTTTGACCAATAGGCCCTTCAGAAACTGCAAACAGATGCGACGCTGAAATTTTACCGTGGGTGTTCCAAATCTGCCGTCACCTTGCTGCCTCCCTCTCTCCTTGAGCTATCAGTTTTGTTTAGCCTCAAACTGAATGTCAGATTATTATTTTACAACCCTGACATCGCATCAGTTTGTGGCTTTCTGGCTTTTGTTTTTTTTCCTCTTTGTGTGTGTGTTTGTGGGAAAGAGAAACATAATAGTATTGTGGAGTTGTCTACACAAACATCAGTGGAAAAACTGGTACGTGATTCTCTGCCCCCCCTGACTAAAGTGTCAGGCTATGAACTTTTCTTGGTGGTAAAACCACCTCATGGTGAGATTGGACCTGAAGGTCTGAATAAAACAAGCTGAGGACAGAAGCAGACAACAGGGACTAGCGCTGTGCAGCAGTGCCTGAGCAGGTACTGCTGCCAGAGCTAATCTCAGGAATCCACAATATTTGTAGCACTCTGATGTGTGGGGGTCCTCACTTAAATCACTACTGATTTAACACAGAATGATAAGAAGGGAATATCACCTCCCCTGGAGACTTGTCTGCCTTGTAAAGGCAGAGTCACATCAATTATTTTCTGTAGAAACAGTTCTCCAGCACCACAGAGGAGCACGTGGATCTCTGGGAGGAAAAAACGAGAGGTTTTCCTTGAAACTTCTGCAGAGGTACGGAAGGACTGAAACTACCATTATGACAGTGCACAGCCAGACTCCACCAGCTTCAGTGAAAGAGGAGGCAGGCCATGTGTGCATAGCAGTCTAATTGCATTTCTGCATTGTTTATGTCAGTGTGTTAATAAGGAATTGAAAGGCAGAATCATTAGGACGTGCTTGGATAGATGATCAGGGGAAACCAGATTTGGAACATCAGTGAGGTATGTAAAATGAACAAGTAAAGAACAAATGTTAATTGTACTTAATTAGAAATGTACTGAACCACCCAAATTTAATTGTTGGATGTCTGCAAACATTGATGCCCATTAGTTTGTCCACAGCGACTGGTTTTGTTCCCCGTGCCACCTTTTATTTTCAGGAAGGGAAAATCTGTGTCCTTAGAGCTGGTAAAAGTAGGTCAGATGCCATTAATAAACAGGTAGTTCAAAAATGCCTTTGTTTAATTTGACATGTGGCTAGGTTCTCAGCTCTAAATTCACATTAGCTAAGGATCTGGCTGGTGACCTTCATGTCTTCCACCATGTACTACAGGAAAATCTTCTTACAGCAGTGCAGTAATATAAAGGTACTTAGGGTTACACCAAAAAATTCTAGCTATTCCCTTATTTTGCTACGGTTGTGGAAATAGAGTAGTGTAAATGAAAGTGAAACCTTG